TGACTTTGAACAATATGAAGATTCACGGTTCCACTCCCAACTGCCCTGCAGCCTAGCCAACATGAGGCCACATGGAAATAGTGCATTTTCAAGTGGGCAGTGACTTCATAATCAATTTAACAAGAATAATCCATGCATGAAAGCATGACATGAGTGTTCAAAATTGGCACTAGAGAAGCAAGCATACCACTGGGATAAAGACATGGAAAAGCAAAATTGAGAAAAGCCTCAAAAGTTAAAAAAAAAAAATGAGAAGTGTGAATGAATGATGTGATGTGATTGAAAACAGGAAGATACATAACACAGTGACCTGAAGAAAGGGATGGGGATGAAACATTCAGAGCAATGGCTAGCGAAGATTATCTCAGCAGCTGTGCTTTATGAGGTTTAGGACAGGATGAGGTGAGTAACACAAGAGGCAGAGGGGAAGGGTTTGGCAGGATATGAAGAAAGTCTAGATGAAGGTTTTAATTGCTTGGGTAAGGAAGAAGCTGGACAGAAGTAATAGGTTTGCTTAACATTTAAGTTATCTCAGATCACTTCATATTCTGTGGTAGCTTCCATGAAATTCAAACCAGAAAGCTCTTAAAAGGAGAAAAATGCAAGGTATACTATAATCAGTACAGCAAGCCCCAAGGTTATATATGTTGATAATAGCTTCCATTTTAACTTGTCTTTGTCCCCACATTTGGCTTCTGATATGTCAATCTTTATTTGTGCTGACAACACTTAAAGTCCTGGGGATGGTAATTCAATAATCTGGCCAAATTTCAGGCTTCTGTCATATTCTGACCAACTCAAATTTCCCACATGCTTTCAACATCTTTGAAGAAGGAGGTTTATAATACCTTTCAAACTGGTGCACAGGGTTCTTATGCATACAATGTGCAACAACTTAAATTTAAATGTAGGGATTTTTACCACCCAATGTGAGGGGATCCCAATGCATAATTTTTACTTCTGTTTCTTAAGTCTGTGTAGTGCTTTGTGCCCCCCTGGGATGGAAAGCATATAAATCATTATGCCTGAAAGACGATTAGAGATAGACAGCAAGACTACAGTACAGATAGAAATGAATCTTCTATTTGAAGGACTCATGTAAAGGCAGAATACATTCATTCTAAGAGTTCCCAAACTGTTCCAAGTCATAGTACAATAGGTGGACTAAGGGGACATTCGTACTGAATCAGGAATGCTCTGTCCCAGGGATGCTTTTCTTACTAATACAGGTTTTGGAAAAAAACACTAAAAGCAGTATTCTTCTACATAAGCAAATGATTTTACTGGATGTGCCTGTGAAAACAGGTGTGTTTTGTGTTTAACCAAGGAGCTGGGGGGGTGGGGCACAGAAAAGAGGCAAGAAAAATCAAGAATCCAATAAAAACTAGAAGACAAAAAAAATGAGAAAAGAAATTGTGTGAAACACAGAAACAATTAATCTACCTCCTCCATTGGCAAGGTTGCTTCTGACTGCTTAGACCATGAATTTAGAGGTGACAAGTTTCTCATCTTGTCTTCCAAAAGCCAGACGGTTACTCCTGCAGCAGGTATTACAGATACACCTGACAGCATTTGGAAGAAAAAGATGTAAAGCATCATAGATGTCCTGCAGAATTCTAAATGACGTGCTCTAGAAAAAGCTTTGCTTCATAAAAGCCCTGCTGTGATTGGCACTTGCTGAATCCTGCTGTTGTGACTTCTTTTGCCTCTAATGTACATGCTTCATCACCAGATACATACAGGGGAGATGCTGAAAACAGGTACAATGCCTCTCAGCAGAGCTATACTGTTTAACTTGCCTCTGGCAAAGCAGACAGACGCTGTGCACAGTAAAATACGCAATATAACCAAACTAACAATAAAGTGTCTATTTTGAGTATGACCAGAAGTTATACAGTGTATCAACTTCCACAAAATCCACCTCCCAACTGCAATTCAATGCAGCTGGTAATTTCATCTGATGAAGTTCAGCTGAGAGAGGCAGAGAGCCTGGCTAACCCTGGCATACTGAAGATATGCATATCTAACAATGAAACACTGCTACATTTAACAGAAACTGCCTTCACCAGAGTTTGGTTCCCCTCCCATGCAACCAATGCCTTTTACAGAGATTAGTGGTAGCCTTAGGGTTGTTGGGGCCCTAGGCAAGAGAGTCATTTGGGGACCCTTAGAGGTAGGTACTCAGGTAAATATTAACCCACCACAGTTGCATCGTGGATCTTTTTAATACTCTTTGGGGGAATTAGATAACTAGTCAAGTGTTAAAATGGAAATAGAGCCACTTCCTTGAAAAAACTTCACCCCCCCCCCAAAAAAAATTTGGGTCCTCTAAAGTGTGGGGCCCTAGGCAGTCACTAGGTTTGCCCTCCCCTAAGGCTGCTACTGCAGGGATGCTTCCAAATTAAAACAGAAGTGGTATTATTTTGTGGCAGGAATAAGATTGCCACCAGAATATGCAATTCTGCAATTTAGGAGGAGCAAGAACTTCACTCTTTAATTCCGCTATGTTTCTTTTCCCAAGCTCAGCATTACTTTTGCTATGGTTCTCTGGCACCACAAATCATCTTTCCATGCGTTCTCTTTATCCAAGGGTTTTCAACCATTATTTTAAGGAGTGTATCCCTTCTGGATACACTTCTGGTGAAGTGCGGGGGGGGTGACAGGACTATGACAAGATGGATGGACAGGGGTAGCAGTGGTGGCTGGATGTGGAGTGGGGTAGGTGGTGGTGGCTGGACACAGAGGGGGGTGGGGG